AGATCCGTCTCTGCTTCTACACGCCACCCAACTACCCCATCACTCGCAAAGAAGGTCGTCGTCTGCCCGTCGTGGTCAATTTCCACGGAGGAGGCTTCACGCTAGGATGCCCCACGGATGACAGTCGCTGGGCGCAGTGTGTGCTCGGAGAAGTCGGTGCCGTGCTGGTCAGCGTCGGATACCGTCGTGCTCCCGAACATCCGTTTCCCGCCGCCGTTGACGACGGCGTCCTCGCCCTGCAGTATCTCGCTGCCCACGCCGTCGAGCTGGGCTTGGACGTCTCGCGCATCGCCCTGTCCGGCTTCTCCGCTGGTGGTAACCTCGCCATCACCGTACCCCTCCGCCTGCGCAGTATCCTAAGTGAGCAGCAACGACAGCAGCAACGCGACCAACAAGACGCCCTCGAACCTCGCAGCAGTCCGCCCAACTTGGGCCCCTACGACTCCACCCAGCAACTAGTATCCGCCGCCTCCACCAGCGAACTCAATATCGTTGCCCTCTTCTGCTGGTACCCAATCCTCGACTTCGAAGAGTCGCGTGACCATCGTCGCGCCATGAGCCTCATGCCCAGTAAGACCCTCCCAGCCTTCTTCACCGACCTCTTCGATGAGTCCTACTTGCCTACGCGCGAGGAGCGGGTCTCGCCCTATGCGTCGCCCGTGCACGCCACGGATGAGATCCTCGCCGATGCCCTGCCGCATGATATTTTCTTCTATATCTGCGAATGGGATATGCTTCTCAAGGAGGGCCAGGTGTTTGTGCGACGTCTGCAGAATATCAACAAACATGTCCGCGCCATGATGATCGAAAAGGCGCCCCACGCGTGGGATAAATCGCCCAATCCGTTCCGCGATCAGGATAAAGTTGATATTCTCTACCGCGATGCCTGTGCTGATATGAAGCATATCTTTGGTGCGTAGACCCATCCCCTTACCTCAAAGGATGGGCGATACATATAACTCATTGCTTTTTTCTTTTTTCCCCTTGAAATCCTGGTCTGTATAAACTATCCCTCTTTCTTATGCGTCCTATTATCATAACTCTTTGGAGTCATTGGCGTTACCTTGGGTTTCGATCATCATTAGAATCCTTACATCATCCTTACTACACACACACATATATCTACATGTACACTAGACGACGATCATTGATTACTACCGAAGTTACTGCATGCATAAGCGATTGACTTGCATCATCTTTTCAAGAAACAATTGGCGGGTAATAGCCAACGATCTTTCCAACCAAACAGTCTCTACCAATAGTAGTACTCATCCTTCCTACTGTACCATGTGCATTACATAACATGTACTAGAAGTACTTGGTTGTAATGTCCAAATCATCCCGGTACCTTCATCTTCACATGTAGAAACGGGAAACTCTTTCCTCTTCCTCTTTTACATAATTATCAGTAAATCATTTCAATGTGCCGAGGTAGATCAAGTAAGTTGAATTAATTTGGACATCCATGTGCATGGACTTCCATGTTGACACTCTAGCTTAAACAGGTACTTACTTGACCTAATCATTTTGATCGGTCGAAACAGGTAACGAACAACTACGACTATCACTGGTCTTTGATGTTTACATGCTTCCAGAAGTTTATAGTTTTTAGAGTTTGTTGATTGTTCATTCTCTTCTACCCTGCAGATGTCATCTTACATCTGTCCATCCATTCCATCCATCATCGTCCATCGTCCATCATTATAAAACCATCCCGGTGCCAGTCTCAGTGTAGCAGACCTGGCAACGTAGACAGGCAGATAACAAGCAGGCATATGCGACCTATGCATGCGTGTATAAATCAAATCAAATCGAATCAATATCCATACGCCGCGCTAAATTCCCACCCATGAAACAACAAAAACTAGATATCAAGAGAACTTTTCTTCTTTTCAGAGGAACATAAAAACCTGCTGAGATGGCATAATCGCAAACAGATTGGGGGTATTGTGCTCGCCAATAGAACGAGAGACAGATAGAGAGAGAAATAAAGAAGCACTTTTGGGTTGTTCTTTTGAAAGGTCTTGACGCATCACAATTCGTCATCCGTTTCGGTCCCATCGCTGAGGTCTTCATCCGACTCGTTGTCATCCGCTTCGCTGTCCGAGTCGTCGTCTTCATCTAGACCTGGGATGCCGCGCCAGTGGACGTAGTCGTTCTCCACCCAGCGTCGGCTGCGCGGGAGCTGGTAGGGGTCAAAGGGGAAGTAGGCGTCTAGTTGGTAGCCGAGATCGTCGCCGGCGCGAATCTCCCGCTCGACCTGGCTGAAGCGCGGATCGGCCATGGCACCGATGCTGCGGTATGAGGACACGCGCAGTCGCTTGTTTGTCTCCAGGATGCTGAACACGTACATCAGGTTGAAGTGCTGCGACATCCGCGCAAACTGGGACACGATCGCGGGCGAGCACACCTTCAGCGGGTTCAGCTTGGAGTGGATGGCCTGGTGCAGCACTTCCTTGACGGACGGCGGGAACATAATGTCCTCCGGCTCAAGCTCGTCGACTTGGTCAGGAGTGTCGCCCTCCAGCGCAGCGGTGGTCAGGTCTCGCCAGCGGAAGCAGAAGATGTAGAGCAGGGCCTGAGCCGTGGAGTAGAATGGGCCATAGCGGCGGAGGTCGGGGCCACGGCAAGTGGCTTCATAATCCAGACGAAGACTGTTCAAATACGTGCCCAACAGATCGAACACATCCCGGACAACCTCGCCAGAGATATGAGCCCCGCGAGCAACGAAGCTGGCAAGATAAGCAGCAGCTGATTGACGCATAATGGCTGGCTGCGTCTTGTTGAAGATGAGTTCGGTGCACATCGCGGCGAAGCGGTCCACAAGGATGGGGGATGACTGGGAGAAGTGGAAGAGGAGGAACTGGGAGTGGCGCGAGCGGTATGTGGGGAGGATAATGTTCTGGAAATGGCTCATCAGAAGATCGAAGGCATTTTCCTTGTCGTCCAGGGAGCCTAGCGTGAACGGAGGCGCATAGTATTCGAACATGGTGTCGATCATGCCATCCAGCTTGAGGATGTTGTCCCGAATGGCTTTGATCCGCTTGGATTCATCGTCTACCGAATCGTCGCTAAGGACGGAGTCGTTGTCATCGTCATCTTCCGCATCATCTTCCTCGATCATGACTGATTCCGGAGAGACTCCCTGCAGGACATCCTCACCGACTTCATCCTCGATGTCCTCCAGGTCCACTTGAATGTGAACGTCAATCTTGACAAGCTTTTCCGTAATCAATGAAAGGATATCGCCCTGAAGCTCCGGGGCATAGCTGATCACTCGGATGAGGTTCCGCGTATACGCAATGTTGGCCTTGGCCGAATCGGAAGCAAACGGAAATTGAGCAGACAGAAGAGGCGACAGCGTTCCACTACCAGACGGGATCAACTGCATGACATGGCGCAAAGCCAAGTGCACGCGGGAGTAAAGCACCGGCACATGCACAGACGGGTAACCAGGGATTTTCCCCGTGTCCTTGGGAAGCTCTCCCAGAAAGTTGACCAGCATCTTGAGCACAGCCCCCAGATAGCTGCCCTGGGCAGCGGCAAGGTTACCGAGAAAGCGTATATACAACTTGATGTACGACTCGTCCCGGCCCAGCCATACGCTATTCAGCACAGCTTGGACCAGTCCGTTGCAACTGCGATCCAAGGACGCAACATTTGACAAAAGACCCAGGAGATGATGTCTCAAGGACGTATGTGTAGGTACATCGTAGGCAAACATGTTGTCCTCATCCCGGCGCCGCGGGTCCACCGCAAAAGTCTCCTTGATGCGGTCGTACGCCTCGCTATCAGTGCCAGAGACATGCCGTTGGATGGCCCTGCGCACCTCCTCGCGGACGACGGCTGCGCTCTTCTCTGGCTTCCGTTCCGGCTCAGGTTCCTCTTTATATGGCACCATTAAAACCTCCTTATCAAACTTCACTCGCGTCCGCTTCCGAGGACTCGGGCTGGTTTCCACGTCGGACGAGGACGACGGGGACAGGGAGAGATCGCTGTAGTCGTCCCCCATCATCATCCTGTGCTTAATCCCAGTCGTGGATGGGGTGCTCTTAGGCGTTTTAAGAATGGACACAGGTGATGATGTAACTAGCATCTTGGATGAAGTGGTCGTCGGCCTGGATGCGATCGTTGCGGTGCGGGAGGCGGTGGCAAGGACGACCACGCCAGGATCGACGGTTCTATAATAATGAAATGGCTGGGGAGTGCTTGAAACAGGACCCCAGATCCAATCATGAGTTGCACTCTCACAGTATCACACGCGAGGAGTGGGATATTAAGAGATGGGAACAGATCTTGTAAGCAGAGCACACGACCCGACCAGTTGCAAGTCGAGAGATGATCCACCTGCTGTTGCTACAGATAACAAGCGCGCTTGGGAGTAAGGAAGGCGAAAGATACCTTCATCGGACTGTCCAGCACACGCACCCTGAGAACACTGCGATGCACGAGTGTGTGGGAGGGAGACAGACCAGCAGTTGAAGGGGAGCCCGTCTGGAGTAAGAACTAGGAAGAATGTAGACGAAGCGGAGAAGCAGAAACTCGACAGTGAAATTTTTTGGGTGTGGGGCGGATGTGGAGCCTCAGGCTTCCAGCTCGTGACCAGCGCGTGACCAGCGCGCAACAGCCTTACCCGATCGGGTTATACATATCTTCGAAGTCCACCAGGTGGATCAAGAAAGAGAGATACTGTACGCAAATGTATGCACATGCATGAGATGCAGAACTTTCTGATGTATCGTTCCATTGTTACAAGATAAATCCAATTAAAAGCAATTCTGGCAAGTGTCTTTCGCATTCAAAACGACGCTAAGGAAGAAGTATACAGATCCGAGAACCTCGTTAGACATGTCAGTCCGTCACATAGCCAGTCAGCAAAGCGAATAATTCGATCCACGCAACATGGAACCACCATTCTGCAACCAGTAAATAGAAAGAGAAAAAAAAAAAAAAAAAGCAAATCTGGGGGTGATAGATCAAGCTCCTCCCAGTGGTATCTAGCTAATTCAAAAAGGATGAAACCGACTAATTAGATCACAAGACATTAAAGAGTGAATATGAGTGGGTCATGGCACAAGTCAATCCTGGCGAGGGAAGGAAATATCCAGTTCCTATCCAGAGCCCTCCAGGCGGGATCCCTCGGAAGTCAAAAAAAGTAAAGAAAAGATGGTAGAGAAAGTAAAACAACGAACAGGGTCATGATTCAAAGCCATGCCCCCGTACCTATCGGACCAAGATAATCATCAAAGACGCTGCCATAAAGGGCCTCGATCTCCACGAGATAGTCATCTGCGGTGAACTTCATTAATCCCTTATCTCGTAGAATCAGCTCCTCATCGTCGAGTATACGGGTGCCACCGAACTCCTCAACCACCTCGTTCACTTGCTCGAGTTCCTTGCTAAATGGATGGGGCTCGGCCTTGTAGCTATCCTGTGTCTGACGTGCAGCAGATGCATTGCGCAACGAGTTCAACGGAGGTGGGGATAGCCGAGACAAGGAACGCTGGCGAGCAAGCTCTTGGTGGGTCCGCTTGGTGTGGGAGAGCGCCCGTTTGGGAACCAGTGGCGCATCCGTAGAGGAGTTGGTCGATGTCGAGGAGCGAGGGTGGCTCGTGATGGTGGCAGATCGCTTCGGGAAATAGGAAGGCAATGGGTTTGGCTCGATGGGCGACTCATCGGGTGTAGTCAGAGGCGACCCAAAACTGCGTTGTGTGAAAGACATTTCCGAATCGTCGGGCGACTGCAATGACGAGGTAGAAGACGAAGTTGCCGAGTGGATGTCGGGCGCATTGTAAGCCAGCATGTTCGTCGTCGACAACAACTCCACGGGAGCCGAAATCTTGTCTCGATTGATCGGACCAGCGTGCTTATGTGGTTCCCGGTATGGCATTGGGGCCGAGACCTCGGGGCGCTTGCTGCGCTTGGTGAACGCTCTAGCCAAAGCCATGGTGACGATATTCGGGAAATTAAGGTGTAGTCGAGAACGCAATTGACGATAAGTGCTGGGAGGTGCAGACTAGGCGGTCGGGCTCAGATATAATGGCAGATATGCAGCTGGCCGGGAAAGGTCGATAGTTGTACAAGCTATATTGCTTTTTGCTATTTTAGGGTTTTCCGTAACCGTCTCCTCGTTCGCGAGAGACTGACGCCTTTGGCGGTATAAGGAAAGAATGCTGATGGCCGATCGCGGGGTGGAGTAAGAGAAGGAATGGAAGATCGATCACCGGAATGTCCGTTATCAGATACAGTGGATGAGCTGTCAAACAAGAACCGAGTTGTCGCAGCGGAGAGGAAATCCGTGTCTAAATGAAGGCAGAACTTCCTCTAAATTCTTCTTTCTCTTCTTTCTTTAATTCCTTTTTTTTTTTTTTTTTTGCTTTTTTCCTTGCACAGCAGAGAAAAATAATAAATAGGGCGGATGGAATGAGTGGTGGTGTTCGGGAAATGGAAGGTGGGCTGCTAGACTCAAGGGGGCGAAGAGATACTGCAGCAGCACGGTAGCACCACGGATAATGGTACAGGGAAGATCGGGGCGGACAACCAGGACGCGCCACGGGCGAGATGTGAAAAGAATAAAATAAGGGTTGGGAAGAAATAAAAGTATGAAGGAAAGAATCCAGGATACACAGATCTGGGACTGGAAGAATGGAAAAAAGGATCAAAAAGGAATGGTGCAGGAAATAAATCGGAGTCCCCCAGGGAGGAATGGGGAAGGGAAAGTAAAGGTCAGAAGAAGAGAGGAGGAGAGAGAGAAAAGGGAAGGGAAGGAAAAAGGGAAGAGGGGGGGAAAAGAGGCGAGTGAGTGAGTGAGTGGATGAAATGATGGATGAGGTGGATGGAACCACTCTCCCGCCGTGATTCTGGGCCTTGTCTTTACCCCCTCTTTTTCTCTACTTTACTCTTTTCTCAGGCTTCCTCTCTGGTCTCTTTCTCTCTTTCCAGTCCTCTGAGTGGGTACTAAAATTCAAGATGATGAATTTAAGCACGCAGAAAAGGGCTAATAGCAAGCCCTGATTCGACTGCTCTCTTTTCTCAGCGACCCAGTCAATAACCCTTGGATCGGATCCTTGAGTCGCGACTCGTTCGCCAGGGTCTTTAGCCGACCAACTGGAAGAGTGGGATAGAGTTGTGAAAGTGGGAAAACTTTGCCTTCGGTATTTTCTCCAACGGTTCGCCTGGCGCCTTGTAATGATGCGGGCGATGGTCGAGAACCACCTGTTCGCCAAAAGTCAACCATGGATACGCATTCTACGGGGCTACGCAGCAAAGAAACAAGCGAAACAGCCAGCATAATAATAACAACGAACTACGGAGTCCTAATGCTTCCTCTCTTCTCCTCCCACATCTTTTTTTTTCTCCGGTGCTCCGACGGAGACAAGCAGGGCAGTCAGGCGCGGCTAGTCGTGCGATTCGATTCGGTGGTCGGACGGACAGAACAGCCTTGACCATCTTCCCCCGGTCATTTGCTTTTGTCGGGTGGCCACCAACAAAAACAATAAAGGAAATTCAGGGACCGACTCAAAGCTTCATCCCGGCGCGTGTTTGGCGTATTGGATTTCAGGAGGTCAAAAACCTAAAATTCCGTTCCCCCTCCCTCCTACATAGTACTCAACGTACCTTGAAGAAAGAGAAAGAGAGCCCTTGATAGGGCGGGACTCTCCCGAGTATGCCTCCAGATATCTACTCCGTAGATAGTATAGACCGTCTAGTCTAGATTAAAAGCCGACCGAGCTCAAAAAACGATAGGAAAATTGATACACAGACTAAACCCAAGTGGGCGTCGTCAAACGGCAGCACCACCGAGGCTACACCAACTAAGGCCAAGTGGTGTCGGCTTGACGCCAGGAACGGCATCGCGGCTGGCCATTGGAAACCGCCATGTGCCCTGAGCGGTGGGGAATTCAAACAATCTGCCGTCTCAGCTGAAGGGGGAGGAGGGAAGTTACATGCAACTAAACAAGCTGGACATGACGTCGAAAGGAAGGGGGTGTGAGTGGTTCTCCTACATACATCACGTCCGTCCTTGAAAGACAGGCTTAATCTCCTACTTACCTACCTACATACTTGGACCCTCTCTCTAATGTAGGTACCGTGCCTGTCGGATAGAATCTGCGATCCGTTCCATGAGGGTTCTTTTCTGAACAATGGAGTTGTACGTACCACCACACTAAACTAAAAACTAAGACCAGACGGAGATGCCGGGCGGGTCAAACCACCGAGTGCCTCTTTTTTTCTTTTTCGCTTTGTTTCCCCACCTGTGGGTCAACTTAATAAATTGGGCGGTGGTTTTCACCCGCTTATACAACTTGTACACTTGACCTGTGCTTTTTCGCCTCGATGTCCTTTTATGAGTATGCTTTCTATGTATGCTGTGCGATGAGTGTCTGCTTCTTTAATTTTATTTTATTTTTTTATTGTTTTACTTACGAGTAGGAATAAAAATTAAACTCAGTAGTCACTACTATTAATTAAAGTGACCATCTACATAATAGTAAGTAAGCACCTTACCGCACGCCAATACCTAGCTAGACCGGTACCAAATTACTACATCTCGGATGAAGTTTCCACGACGACTCACTCCAGCATGCAGATACAGAATTCTTCACCACGACCATCCTCATCTACTTTAGGCCTTGCAGACGAAATGCTTTAAATGAAAAATGCAATCACCGGACCCGTCCACTCGCCTCATTGTAAGCATGTGATTGGTGTTCGAGACCGTATCAGACGATATCTGGTTTGGGTATTCTTCCGGTCGATCAATTTCCATCGTTCATTCATCAATCACTTTCATCGCTTCCAGCTTATTCATCGACTTTCTTCCGTTCTCGTCAACCACATCTAAATTAACTAGTTAACTAACTGACTGACTTGGACAGGTGAAAATGTTATTGGGGTATCACAACGTTTTCATTGCAAAAGAGGTACTCTCAAAATATCTATCTATAAGTAGTAGAACTCCCGTAGATCCATTCTTTTTACTTCCATTTTTTGTTTGTTGCGGTCATCCAAGCTAAAGGCGTCCAAATTTAAGTTCCTTCTTCTCGTTTGTTGCATTGCATCTACTCAATCCTCATCCATCGACTCCCAGCCATCCGCACCTTGCGCCGCTCCAACCTCCTGCACGCCTTCCTCCTCATCCGACTCATCCTGATCGGGCTGAATACCGACCAGACGTTCCTGCACCTCTCCCTCCAGGGAAGGCATCCGTGAGACGAACGCCCGACGCACCGCCGCGTTGGTGGAGGTGTCCCAGATCTGGACCACGCCCTTGCTGCCCGCCACAGCCAGGCGGAAGCTCACATCAGCATCCGGCGCGAAAGTGGTCGAGAAGATCTTGCCCACTTCCAACTTGCGAGACACCACCATGCTGGGCTTGTCGTTCTCAACGTTCCAGAGCTTCACGGACTTGTCCGTTGATCCGGTCACCAGGTAGCCCGGCACGGTCGGGTTGACGTCAAACGACGACACCGACGAGTCGTGCGCTTGCAGCGTCCACACGGGCTTAGACTCCTTGGGCGAGGCGGGAATGTTGCGCACATCGTAGCGGTACACCATACCGGCATCTGTCGTCACGTAGAAGTAGTTCGGATCGTGCTTGTCCCAGCGCACGTTCTCGACATCAGCGTCCACGCCCCAGCGGGCCTTGGAGTCGGGAGCTCTCATATCCGCTGCGACCACGGTGCGGTCGTAACTACCGCTCAGCAGGACGGTAGACTCGGTCGGGTGCCACTCCAACGCGCACACCTTGTCGGTGTGGTGGGAGTAAGACTTGGCGCACTTGGTGGTCTGGAGATCCCAGAGCTTCACGGTGCGATCGGCAGATCCAGAGGCCAGGAGGTTGCGGTGCTGGCGGTTCGCAGCCAGAGCGAGGATCGAGTCGATGTGGTATTCGTCGTTGGCCTTGGCCTTCTTCTTCTTGGACTTCTTCGCGCCGTTCTCGGCATCGGCACCGCCCTGTCCCAGGATCGCGTTGGGGTACATGCTGTCGACAACATCGAGATCCCAGATCTCAATATCAGGCTCCATTGTTCCGATAGCCACGAAGTTACCGGTAGTGCGGCCCTCAGCCGTCTTACCAACGGGGATGTCCAACCACTCCAACGCCAACGGAATAGCGGGAAGCATGATATCGTGGTGAACGTAGAGGTTATCGGCGGCGTCCTCGTAGACGTAGACCTCCAGATGAGCAACCTCGTCCTCAACCTTACCCGCCAACAGCAGATTATCCGTCGGCATAATCTGCAGTTCCTCTCTCTCCTCATCTTCCTCCTCCGGCGGCATAACCAGGTACGGGTCCTCCTCGTTGGGCTGGTGGTAGGCGAGCGACTTGACATTGCCGAACATGGTAATCTTTTCGCCGTCCTCGTCGACCTCGTCGCTGTCGTAGTGATCCAGATCGTATTCCTTGAGGTCATCGTCATCACTTTCATCATCAAATGTTAGCACTCGTCCCTGTTCCTCGTTCCTTGACACAAATCCGATCCAATGGTATACAACAGGAAAACTCACTCCGCAGCACCATCCTTCTTCTCAACCTTCTCCTTCTCCTTCGAATCATCCTCCATAGCATCATCCGCACCCTCCTTCTTATCCTCCTCCATCTCCTCATCCTCCTGCGCAGCCTTCAAATCACCCTGCGCCTCTTCAAGCTGCATGCGCGCAAGCTTCGATATACGATCCATTTCCTCCTCGTTGATCTCATATTTCGTAGGGAACTGGGCAGCGACTCCGCGCCGCACCCAAGCGGAAGTGGTAATCATAGACATCGTGAGAAGCAATCAATCGTGAATAGAAAAAGAAAAAAGTCGATAGTAATAATATCCTGCCGTAGGCGATTTGCTCAACCTATACAGGTGCAAACTCGGACAGAAATATAAGACACAAAAAGAGGAAACCACAAATTCCTCACAATGGTCCAAATAGAAAAGAATGCCAACAGAAAAAAATTCCCCGTCGACAAGCAATTAGTTGAAACTAAAGAAGAAAAAAAGAATATTTTTTTTTTCTTCTTTCCTTTTCCCCCGCCCGGCAGAATAATACCCGATAAGTCCTTCACCGCCCGGCTTTTACGGAAAGAAATCCTTCCCATTTCCATATATGGATCATTAATGCAGTTAGGACCCATTGCTGTATAGAACTTCAATTGAGATCTCCATACATTTCCCACTCAGCAGACGGATTACCGTTGAATATTTGCCAAGATGCATTCCCACCTCCACACCCCCTACAACGCAAGTACGTTACCTCTCCCCCCATCTCTCCACCATCAACATCAGATCACATCATACCACACCAAGCACCGTACTAACTTTCCCCCTCAACAGACTGCGAAGAAATCATGACCGCCCTCGACGAATGCCACGCACGAGGCTTCATCCACAAAGCTCTGGGTGGATGCAACGATGTCAAGCGCGACGTGAACAAATGTCTAGCGGCGGAGCGGTATGCGCGCGCAAAGCGCAACCGGGATGAGGCGAAGGAGAAGCGCAAGAAGATTGAGCGTATTTGGGCTGAGGAGAAGGCGCTTGCGGAGACGGGGTCGATTTCTTCGTTGGCTTCTTCTTCTGCTTCTGCTTCTTCGGGTTCGAGTTCGGCGGAGAAATAGATCTGTAACTTTGCGCTTGGTTGATGGGATAGGGTGGGGTGCTGGTGTGTATGATATGATTGATGTATGTGTCTGATGGGCTGGGTGCATGTGGGTTGCTTATTTTGATTGGCGTTTGGGATTATATTATACTATATCATATCATTCTCTCTTCTTATGCTGCTACTGCGTCTTCGGTGTATGTTTATGTTGTGCTGGGATGGGTATGTTGGATGTTGAAATCGTCTATCAATATCGATGATAACTACCTATACACAATTCATATGGACACTTTTTTATCTCGTCCGCCGAACGCCGTACCATGAAGTCAAGTTAAAAGAAAAGTAGCACCTTAGCAAAGCAATCAATCATCCATGGCATCAGCCGGCGCAGCAGCAGCAGCAACAGCTTCCGCACCACCTTCACCATCACCCTCCATCTTCCCAGCACCGCCCTTATGATGACGACGTCTGCGCTTCGCCTTCGGCGCAGCATCACCATCCTCACCCTCCCTCTCCTCCGCAGCAGGCCTCTCTTCAGCCTCTCTCTTCGGCTTCTCCGTCTTCCCGGCAGTGGTACCCTCGGGCGCCCTCTTCTTCGGCTTCTTCACACTCAACGGATTCGGGCCCTTGGGCTTCTTCAAATCCCTCTTCTTCTTCGTCTTCTCACCATCCCCAGCCGCCGCCGTCGTCGTCTTCTTCTTCGCCTCATCATTCAACCCAACCCTAAACTTCCCCTTCTCCACACCCTCCCTAATTGCATCCGACGGATCACTCATCGGCTCCAACACCATCACCGACCGCTTCACATACACGATCGGCACACCCGGAATCGACCGAGCCTGACGCCGTAGCAACCTCGACTTCCGAAGCGCCGCCTCTGCCTTATCCTCTGCGTCGCGCTTGCGTTTCCGTCCAGCGGACGTGTTGTCCGTCGCGGACTTGTCCTTGGCGTTGTGCGGGTCCGCTGTCGCAAGGATGTAATGTTCCTTGTTCTTTTTGCTCTCGGCGGACGGGGAGAGGAGGGAGAGCAGGCACTCGACTTCGTCGATGGGGGTCGAGTCGGCGTTGTGGGAGCAGTGGCGGAGAGGGAGAGTGGTGGGTGGGGGAAGGTGGTCGGGGCGGTAGGGGTTGTTGGTCTTAGGGTTGATGGGTTGGGAGGCCATTATTGCGGCGAGGGAGCATTTTGTGAGGACTGTTTTATTGCGTTAGATCATTCATTGTAGTTATGGTTGATATCCGGGGCAACATACGAGGCTTGGGTTTGCCTTGAAGAGTGCGCTCCAGAGCGGGGATCAAGTCCATTTTGAAAGAGTGAACGGCGCGGAGGAAATTGGAGTCAACTGTCACATTTTCTAGTCAGTATACCCTTATCCTTGACATGATAGTATCAATGGATGGATAAATGGATGTCTGCATACCCAGAACCTGATATGGCTCACGGAACCCGAACGTAAGCTCATACTGGTGCATGAGCTTGCGGTACTTCTTGGATCGCTTGGCCCTCATCTTGACTGTCTGGTCGTCTGAGGTGCGTTAATATGTAGTATGTATAACCTGTGATTGGGTTTGGGGTTGGTGCATTTGGGCTTTTTTTTCTTTGCGTCGGCGGTCACTTTTTTTTGCCGGGCGGAGGAGAGAGCTCGGGATGTTGGTCTGTGCGTGGGCTGGCTAAGCGGCCGTTGATGGAGTCAATTATGGGGCCATCTTTTATTCAAATCGCCTCTATGGCTCAGTGGTAGAGCGCATCACTAGTAATGATGAGGTCCGCGGTTCGATCCCGCGTGGAGGCAATTTCTTTTTCTCTTTTGTTTTTGTTGTTGGTTGTGAAGGGGAGAGATAGTGTAGTTGTATATGTGGTGTGCGTGTATGGGTAAAAATTTGAGTAGGGTGTGTGGGAGATAGTACGTGTTTACTTTTTGCCTCATAAAGAAGGTTTGATAGATTAGCAGAATATGTCACGGGTATTTATGCAATGATAATAAGCAATAGTCTATGTCGCTGTGCCAGTAGAATATATATAGCCCGAAACGTCAAATGTCCCACAAACGCCATTACCTCCCCTTTGAACCGGCCCTGAAAGGGCCCCAGATCCCAACATGCAACATATACACCACCCATGCCATGCACAAATAGTGCGTATGCAATGTAATCAAGCGATTGTCCGATGGCCGAGCCCAAGTCGATTCGGACATCTGCTATCTTGTCGATCGCCCTCTGTCACAAACCTCCAGACGTAGGTTTATGCGGAAGTCAAAGTATGAAACGCTGTGCAAGTCAACTCCGTGCTGACATGAGATGTGTAAGCCCTGCTTCACCCCTAACCTACTGCCTGCGTGCAGGTCACCGGTAGTTAGGTCGATTACGTCCTCCTCCTGCAAGAGCCGATTACTACACTGATATCGTCCATTTTCCCTGCATCAAGATTAGTCTACCTCTCTGAACCGGTATGCGAAGACACTCACCACCCTGCACGGCCAGTCCTTCATCCACCGCCTTCTCCATGTACGGACTCTCCGCAAAGGGATCCTGGGCAATCTCCAGAGCAGACTTGAGCAGCTCCCTCGCTATAAACACCATCTGCTCGTCCGCCATCACAGCCGGAGGTGCCCACTCCGAGTCCTTGTCTTCATGACGTCCTTGCTGCCACTTCTCCAGACTATCCAGGATGATCGTCAGGATCTCATGCTCCCACAGATTGTCCACGATACCGTCTGACACGGCCACCACGAGGTCATCCTCCTGCACATCAATCAAGGAAAGGACTGCATCCTTCTGGGGAGTATCGACGCTGTTGGTGCCCAGCTGCATAGGACAGTCGAACCAATGCCATTGTTCCTTGGTCCGAAAGAGGATTCTCTTCTCGCTAGGCCGGATGACAAAGATCTTGCAGTCACCTATATTGGTCACGTAGAGCAAGGGCCGTGTGTTTCCCGTAGCATCGCGCTTCCAGTGCAGTATTGCTGTGACGGATGTAGTAGTTCCCAGCCATTCACCTGGGGAAGTCGTTGCTCGAATGGTTTCCTCGTATGCGCGTTGGAGATAGCCGATAGGATCTAACTCGGACTGGCCATTGGGTTCTCGTTCAAGTTCCAGGGCCCAGTAATGGAGGAGCAGTCTAGACCAAAGCCTATATCAACAAGAAAGGGGCCAAGTCAGCACACGGGAAGGGAATGAGACGGGATCCAGTTGGGGTCAGGGGTAGTAGGGGTCCGCGGAGACTAGTACAGAGGGACAGAACAACGTACGCAGCATGACCTCTCGGCTTGGTTGCCCACGCCCCGACCCCATCGTTCACGGCGAGGTAATTCTCCGCCACTAAAACAGCATCGTCGCCGTTGTTCAGGCCGCGGACCAGATCCCCCCGGACGGATAATCTCTTATCCTGACTCAGGTAGTGGGTGGTCAGCGGGTCGGAAAAGGAGGAAGAGGGCGGAGACAGGAACGGTGGGGGGAAGGGACGCGAGGGCCGTTTGGCGCAGAGAGCATAGCCTGTCTGGAAGCAGAAAGGCGAGCGGGAGATGGGGAACTGTGGATTAGGATCCGGGATGGGGGTGGTGATGCCGTAGGAAGGCCAGACGGCGCGATATCGTCGCACCCAGATGCTGCTGGGGGCCCCCGAATGAGCGCTCCACAGTGGGCTGCGTCTAATTACTACCGGCGAAGCGAGAGGAGAGGAGAAGAATGATAAACAATTTGTCGAACTAACAACAAGAGTCTTGGGCACCATGCCCGCTAAAAGTTTCCCAGAGATTGCTGTGCCGGGCGGGAATCCCAGACAAGCACAGATACAGACAGACTCTTTTTTTCTCGGGAAGCTGGATTTTGGCCAGAGCCAAATGAAAATCTTGCCGACTTGCGAACCACGGCCAACTTTCTGACCAACTTTGCCCCATCCCCGGTCACCTGCGCCCCACCTGACTTTGGGGTTTGGTACGGTTGAGAGTATCTACAAAGTTGTTGAGAAATGACAGGAGAAGCTTGAGCTTAAGCTTGAGCTTGAATCTGAATTATGAACTAGCTATCTTCGAAGATCATTCTCACATTCCATTCCATTCACTACCACCCCAGCTTTCCTTCTTTTCCCCATACAATTTGACATCACATCCATCACATCTCCCACCCCCCCACACACCGACATAACCATACTGGCAGGTAACACGAGCTAGTATTGGCTTGCAGATGGCCCATATTTATCATACCCCTTTACTTTTTGCACCACGAGGTTGCATCTTCAATTTCTTTGGTTAAATACTGTCCGTTCCCTCTCCTACATAAACCATGTAGATGTATATCTACCTCATCGATAAACAATCCCCACTGACCTGACATGCTCACCCTATTCACTTGGAGACACCCACAATTCCCAACACTTTTCGTTGCACAGATACGAGATCGCCGGAAATATGATGATCGTCAGGCATGTCTACTCAGAAGGGGAAAGACCCAAGGAAAATCAACGTAATCTCAGCAAAGAAAGTAAAAGCAATTACACCCCTCACTCCATGAACTCCTCAACGCACTCATCATGCCACCCACCCAACGCCAGTAAAAGCCAGACCAGCTACTCAATTGTAGCCTTAGGGTTCAAATGATGCCGGCAAACAGTTCTTTCTGCATCTCTTCGCCGAAGATCCTAACAGCCCGGTTCAAGGCCAATCCGATCACAAAGACGTCAACATCTTCCCGGATGGAAGAAAGCTCTTGGAACACGGCCTTCGAAAGAACCGTGCACCGGTCGCGAATTCCAAGAGTCCCACGGTTTGCGTTAACCTGACTCAGTAACAGGATCATATTCCACTCCGCGCAGGGGCAGAGACGGTCCGGATCCTGGGTACAATCCTGGCCGCAACTGCAGGCCGATTGGCACACACACTTTCTCCGTTTGGCGTATTCGATCAGCTGTTGCATGGTGCCCTGGTTGCGGAGAACACCCACAGTCTTGCCTTCAAGCATGGCTAGCGCGGCCTGCCGGTGATCCGAAGTACGTGCCCTTTCCGTGAATGCTGGGTCGACATTGTGCCGCTGAATGAAGGGAAGGGGCTGCTGGGGGATCATAAACTGATAAGTGTTCCTCGGTGTGAAGGACATGTATCTCTCAGAATGAACGATGAGGACCTTGGGCGGTGGCATATGGTAGATCAGGCCACTCCCAGCCCACTTCTGGCGAAATGAAGAATCCGGGTTCTCGATAATCCCAAGGGTAAATCTCCGATATCCGATGAGATCGTCCAAGGCGAACGGCATGCTGTTGACCTTTGTCACAGCGCGGTGGACTAAAGTAGCCTGATAGTTCCGAACAGATTCTTTGTTAAAGATCTTGCAGACAGTCGGGCTATCGAGGATCTGCTTGCAAGTCAAGAGTATGTTGTACAAGTGGCGTGGCTCAGGGAGCATGAAGTTGTTATGCGAAGAAACGCGTGTTACCTCGATACTGAAGCAAGAGCATAGGTCGACCATGACAAGCTCCATCATAAGCCTCGCGTAAAGGGCGTGGTACAACTTCTCAACGCATTCCACCAAGGGAGCGATGTTTTTGGACGCGATGGCATCTTCTGCGTCCCTGATGCAAACCATTAGGCCGCCCTGAAATCCATCCAGCTAGAAACAGATACACCAAATGGTTAGCGGCTATCTTTTTGTGCCGGGCTTTGGGCTTATAATATCCTTACTTCAACGCCATAGTGGATGAAGCACATGAAGACCACTTTAGCGACGGTGTACACCTTCACGTATACAGCCAGCACACTGTTCCTCCAGGACGAAACATCATAGCCCTGCGCATCATCCAGATTCTTGAGATATCCCGTGACAGTATTCCATTCGACAGCGCCAACGGCGTAAGGAGAGAAAGGGAATTCGGCAGGGGCCGTTCGCTGTCAAATCGGTGTCAGTTTCCACCCAAACTGGGGGACAGAATCACAACGAGATGCCAAAGCCAACATACAGCTGACGTGTACGACATCCCTGTGCTGTCCGAAGACCGCAATCCCATGCTCTCAACCGTATCTCTGTATTCTTCGTCACTCTGTTGTAGAACTTCCAACGAGTACTTGTAGAAGCCGTCGGTGTGCTCGCTGAAGGAAGAAGATGAAACAGAATTATAGGAACGGTGTTGTGGGTAGTCATGCTCGCTGCTCCTGGGTTCTCGCCGAGTGAAGAGCTTCCGCCGAGCAATAGCCCATAGCTGGGAAGCGGATCTGTGACTCGGTACCATTTTGCTCACTTTGCAAGATGATTCCATGAATGTCACAGTACGGCGGGTATCAGACCCCGTATGAGTGGTAAGGCCGCCGATGAGAGACGAGATGAGAAGGTTAACGGTAACTTTCAATCATTCGCAAGAGTATACCCGTGCCTGCTTGATAGGTAGAGAAGACAGTGAATGGTCATGCTGGGTGTTAACACTACACAGGGTGAGGGGATTCTTGTGGGTTGGCCAGATTGATGCTGGGAGAGAAAACGAGAAGGCGCTCACGGGGTCAACAGCCAGAGCAGTACCTGCTCTTCAGCCAATTCATCCTCCCTGCTATCTATGACTTGGGCAGATAAGCAGTGGCTACTACTTGAAAGGGAAGTGAACCTGTTCATCTGAGTACTGGTGAAAGCCTAGCCAGGTCTCCCTATTGTTTCTACTTTGTGAATTGTGATCACCTATTTGAGGTATATAGAGATATGCTGTGCCACTCGCAAGTACTTCTCCAAGGTGCTTAAAGTTGCCTGTGAGATATGACACGAACAGACCCGTATGATACACATCTACTAACATTGCCTAATCATATGCAAGATGAGTTGACATGTTTTGATTTATATTGTCCTGTAGCTTTAGCACAGAACTGCAGGTGTTTGCACCGAAAGTCTATCTCCCAAAACAAAGTAACGTAACCGAAGAATCCCCTTCAGTCACCGGAAAGACGAAACAACAAAAAGCCTCCCCTAGAGAACAAGAAAAAGATAAGAACAATAAACATAAAAAAGCATTGTAAACTACAATAACCCAGGATCGACTTCAATAGGGGCCTTGTCCCCCTGGCCAGAATAAGGCAAGATGACTTCTGGTATCTTCCAAAGGACACTATTGGCCCTGTCAATGTATTCGGGAGGGATATTCGCGCTCTCGCTGAAAGATAGAGACTGTCAAGATTACTCTGTCAGCTTATTGAATGAAGGTGTCTCAGAACATAACTCCACTTACACGCAAGCTGGTCAGACCTCTGACCCATTCAAGGCCAAAGTCGCAAAATTCGTTGGGCAGATGTTCATAGTCTTCGATGGGATGGGCAAGTACCTGGTGGCAGTTTTCCAACCAGAGCACTTTGAGCTTCCGACCAGGAGCTAGACTGTTCTCATCTATTCCTCGCTCTTCTGGCTCGTAGGAAACTCCACCTAGCCAGTTCAAAAACTCAGGCTGTGCACCGCGACATGTTCTCAGTTTGAGAACGGTCAGCTTGGGGTTTTTCTTCACAAGCATGGTCAACTGCCACGGTGTGATGCCCGCCCGCTCCAGGATCAACGTCTGTAGCCCGCAAAGCCCATATTGGGGATACCGTCCTATACCGAGAAACATATTCCATGTTGTACTTCCCGGGGCAGGATTCAGCCAAGTGCTAGGTCTGATGGGGCCGTCCCGAATGTGTGGATGCTCAAAGCGCAATGCTAGATGATGCAATATGTTTTTGCATTTGGAAGCTAAAGCCATGGCACCCTCGCTGTCAAGATCATACGCCATAAACTCCAGTTTCCTAAGTCCTCGGCCATACCGATTCACCACTTGGGAAAAAACCCTATTTTGCTCCCTAATCATCTGCTCCAATGTTCGGGATTTCTCAAGTAGTGCAGGGCACCGTCTTTTCAAGCTTTTCATTTTCAGTAGAGGCTTGCTGTTCAAGTCACTCGCAAGGCGGCTCATGGCAGGTTGGATGATGGATATTGTGTAGTCATTCGCTTGTTTGTTGTGACTGGAAATCTGTGCCATTTGATCCGGCGTGGTCCAGCCAGCCTGGAGTAAGGATATCACAGAGTGAATGCGCTTTTCAAAAACCCCTAATCGTAGACATTCAAGACAGAGGGTATGGGACTCATAGTTGGCGCGAGATGTTTCGCCGAAGGCAAGCAAGGACTCGAAGGGAAGGTAGGAGAGTATGTGAAGGATGAGCTCCAAGGGTAATAAGCTAATCTTGTCGGACATTTTGTGAAACCTGGCTAGATGTTTTAACCCTCCCATAAGATCCTCTTAACTGCCAGTAATATGTTGTCGCCTGTACTTTGGGCGCTGCCTGGTCGCCCACTCCGTTTGTCCGCAGTTCAAGGTCCCCTCAACATGGTCGGCCCAGGGGGTGGATAAAGCGGGAGTAAGCTACAACGAGCGGAGAAAGGTATAAATATGAAAAGATTCGGTCAAAAACGATGACAGAAGCTGATTCCCTTGTTGTTAACGTTGAAGTTTTGGTCGTTATATTGGCTTGGGTAGTCTATAGAACTGTCTGTTGGCGATGGAAGGAAGTGAAATGCAGGCGAAACGCAACGATTGTTTGCGTAAAGCAGAACGGTAGTAGATATTGCTGCGGATCACATCTAGTTTTTCGCGCTGGAGCAGAGGCGCTGCGATATATAGCATGCAGGGTTGCGACGCTCTGGAGGGCTAAGCTGCGCCCTGGCAGGGATACCTTGCAGGCGGGGTCCCCCCGACAGTTTTAGTAGTTCTCACCGTCGAGACTGGCCCCTCTAGCCGAAGAGATGGTCACATTCTCTCGGTTGGAACGAAGTAGCGAGTGAGGATGCTCTACTTAAAACCTCAGTAATATTTCGCATCAAATAGAAGAAAGGGGAAACGTAAGCGAAAAGTGAATCAGCCACGAACAGGTGTCGCCATTGGGTTGCGGTCAGGAAAATCAAAAAGGGTTTACTCGGGCTCTAACTATTGCTATCACTTTTTAGTCCGGTGGGAACAGATTCAATATAGACGGCTTCTGCTAGAAAACCCACTTAACCAACTAGACGGCTGACCTGGCACGATCAAGGCGAAGGCCGCCCTCTTCTACAGCGCACTATCGGCTAGATAGTGCTGGGCATACAAAAACCATGCATGACCTGCTTGGGATAGGACGTGGCTCATGTCCAACATGTTTGCACTTCACCGTCGAGCTGGAAAATCCGGTGGCGCATGCCTTCTGTCGCGACCCGTCGCGGTGTTTCTCATTTGTTAGTGCAGGTTAGACTAAACTACACCCGCTGTACAGCTTGAACGGAGCGGGTGTCCAGTGTCACAGGCGATCCTTTCACTGCTCGTGCCTAGACTGAACTAGAGGAGCTGATATCTGGAAGAACGTACGGATTGGGGTCAGCGTTGCCCGTTCTTGGCCATTGCGCATTTAATGGGGACGCCAATGCAGCGTGAATCCCTGGTGTCGGTTTGCAAAAGAAAATATGCGGTAATCCCACTAAGGTCGCAGGAAGCGGTTATCGGCATGTACCCCGTATGATGGATAGACCCAACATGGAGGATAGCACGCCGAGCCGGCCACATCTCCCAAACTCCCATCCAGCCAGCCAGCAAACAGGCAGTTACTCGACAGTGTCGAATAAAAACCTGCGGAGATGCCGGAGACGATCAACGTAGGTTAGACGAGAGCTGAGATCACATCATCACCACAGCACCCCGTTTCTCCGATCGAGGCTGGCTAGATAGCGACTACCCCCACGAATCCTGGCCTTCAGTCAACATCAATTTAATCTCCTTGCAGTCAATGTGTGACACCGAACCGATCCCCTGGGACTTCTTGCCCAATTGAAGGCCACCTGTTGGGCGATCTGAGTCATATTTGACGATCAGGTGCATTGATAGGGCGGTTCGGATGGTTCACACGCTTAAATCGGGTCATCTGTTTGCTTTTCACCCAGCTGGACCTGTGGCTGCAGCTAGAAGACAGCCACGGTAACATATCGGAGTGCTTCGGCCGATCTGAGGCTCGAATCCGAACCAGTGCATCCTGCGCGAGTGTTCGTCGGCCATAGCGGAATAGCGCAGTGCTAGACCCACGCCAGTGTGCTTAACGTGCAGGACGGGGTTGGAGGTTAGACCGGAAAATACCTTGTGACAGATGGGGAAAGTGAAACATTGTAGTGGAGATTAAGGAGACTCCCTCAAAGCGTTCATTTTCAGGTGTTTTCAGCTCTGCTGCAGCTTGTCAAGCATTCGTAACAGGGAAGAGAGGGAACGGGAGGGAGAGCTGAGCAGCAGCCGGCGGTATTTATGGGTTGGTTAGTAGTGTTATATTGCAGCAAATAAAACAAAGCAAGGCAGCCGCACTACTACTTCAAGCCACATGCAGCTGTCATGCGTTTGACAATGCGAGGTAGCGAGGATAAATATAATAAAAAGTAACGAAATCAAGAGAAAAGAAAAGAAAAGGAACAAAAAAAATACTTATGATGCTCGACAACCTATACATCCTAGAGAAAAATAAAATCGACTTATGCATGTGCGTATGTCACCCCTCGCCTGCAATTTACAAAAATTATATTCTTGAGCCAGCTCTCTATCCCTGAACCCTGAAAGTACGGCCACTGGCCGTCTTCCTTTCTCGCTCCTCGTTCTCGGGCCGCGCCCGGTTGAGAACTATCATTCATTAGTGACCTGGACATACCTTCATTGTTGGGGGTCCACTCTTACCTTGGAGGAAGTCCGCGGTCCTCTTGCGCATCCTAGTGTGAATGTATGCCTGGATTCTAAGTAAGCATGTTGACCTGGCCTGCAAAAATGACAGGGAAAGCTACCTTAGATGCTTTGATGTGGTAATGGAAGTAATCACGGAAAATCTGGATGTGGGAAATGTTCTCATAGCGTCGCTGTGGGGTCAGGTGGCGAGGGAACAGGACTATGAGCGGTTAGTGACAGCTAACGGGTGGGTGATGCATATCCCCGAATACATACCGAAAGTGACATAGCTGATACTACCGTCGTTACCGTTCTGGATGCCAGGCACACCAGCCAGCTCCAGGGGACAGTCGTTTCGGAAGAGTACTTGAGGGGCATTCTGCAGGGTAAGGACACGGCGTCTGGCATCGACGAATTCCTGCAGGAACACCTTGCCAAAGATGCGATCTGTCTCCTCCCGGAACACTGTGCTGAAGATCACCGTGACACGATCATGGCTGGCTTTAATGTAAATCGCTTCCTCCTCTCGATAGTGAATGGCCATAACCTCTCCTCCTTCCTTAACTCCCTGGGGCGCAGTCTCGCTCGTGTATCTCGAAGCCTCTTCGGCCAGCTTAGCGAACTCATCGAATGCTCTCTCGAAGGGGGCGGCCATGGCGTTGCGCTTCATCAGCGCCAGGCGCATGATGAGTTCATCCTTCGCCTCCTGCTCGGCGGGCAGGTTCTCTAGATCGATCAGGACGGAGAAGTCATAGCCGGGCTCCGGGGTGACAATGTAGGGGCCGTATTCCCTTTCCAGCACCTCCTGGGCACCGTACTGGACAAGCTCCCGGAAGCATTTCACGTTGATGGAGATGAGGATCTTGGTTTTGGATTCTGGCGTAGACAGATGGAAGGTCACTCCGTCAAAGTCGGAAACGATTTGGTCGATTGACACGGGCGGGGCTCTGAAGGAAGCATGAATGGAGCTGTTAGCTGGTAGCCTGGCGTATACCGGAGGCGGGGGGGGGGGGGGGGGGGGGGGGGGAGGGGGGGGGGGGGGGGGGGGGGGGGGGGGGGGGGGGGGGGGGGGGGGGGGGGGGGGGGGGGGGGGAAGCTGTACCCAGAGAACCGCTCCGTCAGGAGGGAGTGGATGAGGACGTTGTGGTAGTCTAGCAAAAGCATGTTGATGGACGCATCCAATGATAATGAGTAATAGATTCAAATTCTCGGCCTGCGATTCCCTTTCCTTTAATTCTGGCTTTCAATCCCACGAGGGTCACTGCCACGATGGGAGTTACGTTGATGGGGGCTTTGGGGAACCGGCAGGCGGTGGGGGAGGCCGGCTGTGGTCGCTGTCGCTCTCCGTAGCGACCGCCGCCATTTGCGCCTATCGATAGCATTCATTCTCCGAGCTCCCAAAAATTTTCCCAGGTCGCAAACACCCAACGATGGTGAAGTCATATTTGTAAGTGAAGCGCTCAAGGGTGTAGCATTTTTCCCCGAAAGTATTTTCTGTGTACTGACTTCTTCAGTAAATTCGAGCATTCGAAGACTTTCGGGCTCATTGCGTCCGGCTCGTCGAATGCGATCTGGGCCCGGGACGATGAACTCGCGGGTTCCGCACGTCGAACAGGCTCTGGGCGAGCCTTCGTGGGTGCGAGCGAGGAAGTTCTCTGTTGGGACATTAAGAAGGGTGAACTACTGGGCAGATGGCACGATACGTCTTGCAAGGCGCAGGTCACGATAATCACGCAGAGCAAAACGGATGAGGATATTTTTGCGGTCGGGTAAGTTTTCTCACCATGGTAGGATTTTTGTACGCTACCTTACTAATTCGGGCGTCGCTTTGTGATATAGTTATGAAGACGGCAGTATTCGTATCTGGGATTCACGGACCGAGACGGTTATTATTTCCTTCAATGGCCACAAGTCCGCCATCACTCAGCTTGCCTTCGATAGCACAGGGGTCCGCCTCGCAAGTGGTTCGAGAGACACGGACATCATTGTATGGGATCTGGTTGCGGAAGTCGGACTTTTCAAACTGCGCGGACACACCGATCAGATTACATCGCTCCATTTTCTTACCCCGTCCATTGAATTGCTCAATGAAGCCGGTCTCAGTGAGCATGCGGGTTTTCTGTTGACGACTGGAAAGGATGCTCTCATCAAAGTATGGGACTTGGCTGCGCAACACTGCATCGAAACACATGTGGCACAGTCCAACGGCGAGTGTTGGAGCCTGGGTCTCTCGCCCGACCAGAGTGGTTGTATTACGGCAGGAAATGATGGAGAACTGAAGGCCTGGTCGATTGATGAGAGTGCTATGATTCACATTTCCAAAGAGAAGGTCGGCTCGGAGGGACAGAAGATCTTGACGGACCGGGGCACGTTTTACCGAAATGGAAAGGACCGCACAATCGGAATCAGCTTTCACCCTCGAGCGGACTACATTGGAATCCACGGATCTGAGAAGGCAGTCGAGATTTGGCGTATTCGCTCGCAGACCGAGGTGCAAAAGAGTCTGGCTAGGAAGCGCAAGAGGAGAAAGGAGAAGGACGCGCAGCGTGCAGCTGACAAGGATGGAGCAGCTGCTGAGGATGCCATTGAGAAGTCAGAGGACGCCTCATCTGCGCCTGTCTCGGAAGTCTTTGTTCCTCACACTATTGTACGCACTGGCGGTAAGGTCCGGTCCTTTGACTGGATTCGCACGAAGTCAAGTGGAAGTCTGCAACTTCTGGCCGCGACCACAAACAACCAACTTGAAGCTTACAGCGTTGTGACCGCGAACAAGAAGAACAAGGATGAGGAGGAGCCGGACTATAGCCGGAACTTGGCAGTCGACATCCCCGGCCACCGCACCGACATTAGATCTGTTGCATTGAGCTCGGACGATCGGATGCTGGCGTCTGCCTCCAACGGCAGTCTCAAGATCTGGAACGTCCGGACCCAAAGCTGTCTGCGTACTCTTGAATGTGGCTATGCTCTGTGCTCTGCTTTCCTTCCTGGTGACAAGATTGTTGTTGTCGGAAACAAGGATGGCCAGCTTGAGGTTTTCGATATCGCCTCATCGACCCTTCTGGATACGATCAAAGCCCACGACGGGCCGGTCTGGTCCATTCAAGTCCATCCTGACGGCAAGTCTTTGGTGAGTGGTAGTGCCGACAAGTCTGCAAAGTTCTGGAACTTCCAGGTGGTTCAAGAAGAAATCCCGGGTACCAAGAGAACAACCCCCCGACTCAAGCTGGTGCACACGAGAACGCTTAAGGTTTCGGATGACATTCTTAACGTTCGCTTCTCCCCTGATGCTCGGCTGCTGGCTGTTGCGCTTCTGGACAACACGGTCAAGGTCTTCTTTGTTGACTCCCTCAAACTCTTCCTCAACCTTTACGGCCACAAGCTGCCTGTTCTCAACATGGATATTTCTTGGGACAGCAAGCTGATCGTCACGTGTTCGGCCGATAAGACCGTTCGTATCTGGGGCTTGGACTTTGGTGACTGCCACAAGTCCTTCTTGGCCCACGAGGACAGTGTCATGGCTGTTGCTTTCGTTCCGAACAACAAGGATGGTAACGGGCACAACTTCTTCAGTGCTAGCAAGGATCGAGTGATCAAGTACTGGGACGGTGACAAGTTTGAGCACATCCAAAAGCTGGCCGGTCACCATGGTGAAATCTGGGCTCTGACTATCAGTCACTCGGGTGATTTCATCGTCACCGCTAGTCATGACAAGAGCATCCGAACCTGGGAGCAAACTGACGAGCCTTTGTTCCTTGAGGAAGAGAGGGAGAAAGAACTGGAAGAGATGTACGATAACAACCTGATGGCGTCCCTGGATCAGGACGAGGATGGCCAGGATGGAGAGAAGGCTGAAGCCGTTGACGCTGGTAAACAAACTGCGGAGACATTAATGGCAGGTGAAAAGATTATGGAGGCATTGGATCTGGGTATGGAGGACTTGGAGGTTATGCGCCAATGGCGCGCTCTCAAGGCCAGACAGCCTAACGCTGCACCCCCACAGCGCAATGCCCAGTACATGGCTCTGAACAACATTTCAGCAGAGCGGTATCTCCTGAACGTCGTTCAGAAGATCCCCGCAGCTGCGCTTCAAGACGCTCTGCTTGTCCTGCCCTTCTCAAAGGTGCCTGCTCTCTTCACGTTCCTCAATATCTGGGCTAGTCGCGAGTGGAACATCCCCCTTACCTGCCGTGTGCTGTTCTTCATCCTGAAAACTCACCACCGGCAGATCGTCGCTAGCAAGATGATGAGGCCGATGCTGGACGGTATCCGATCCGCACTGCGCAAGGTCCTGGCTCGTCAGAAGGGCGAGATGGGCTTCAACCTGTCGGCTCTGCAGTTCGTCGGCCAACAGATCCAGGAACAAAGCACGAAGGATTACATCGACGAAGCCGCTTACGAGGAGCAGGAGAGGCAGACGGGCACGGGCAAGAAGCGGCAGTTCATGAGCATTGCCTGATTGCGCGTGGGCCAGCAATATATACCTACCTGTACTACACATGCATCTGACTGGCGTTGAGACCTGTGATTTTTCTGTTTTGGATTTTTGGCTACGAAAAGTTCTATACCTGGAGTTACACGTTCGCGAACGGCTTCGATACAATGTAAATCGATATAGAGATATGTCAAATTATGAAACGATCCGTCAATAGCTTCCAACATGACACTAGACATTTGTATTCATCTATCTATTTAACTAATATTATATGACCAAGACTTCGTCACAGAAAGACCTATAAGATAAAATCCGTTAGCACAAGTACCCAACAGATTGGCAGTCACACATATAGCGGACGAAAATAATCCAGCCAGTCAAATCCGACCCAAACCCGAGAGGAACAGACTAGAACCAATTCACAACCATGAAAACACCACTCAGCAGAACCATTATAAGCATCGACGACAGTGAACATCCCTATTTTTAGGGGTCCCTGCCATTCCTCTTCCGGCTCTTCCTAATATACCGGTTCATAGAAAAATTCTCATCATATAGGTGTAGGTTGTGAAAGTGTTGATTGGTTCTACCCCTCGGTTTTGGGTATGGAGCTGCATTAAGGAAAAAAGACAAGGTAAGATTGGTATGCATACCTGAGCAATTGTTAGTCGTGTAGTGTGACCGTGTCGAAAGGTGGCGATATAAGTACGCGACCCGAACATTAGAGTCAAGCTGAGAGAGAGAAAGTAACTTCCAGCTGTGCGAAAAGGAAAGTGGGAGAAAATGAAGAAAATGGGGAGGAGCTATTTTTCTTCGGCGGAAGTGTTGCGCCGGGGGCAGAGCGGGTGAGTCAGGACTTAGTCAGCTAATTATTAGCTTGGGTCGCTTCAGCTTAGCATACTGCCACACCACACCGCCAAAATTTATACAGATTCACAGATGAGTTTTTGGGAGCTGTATGTTTCCAAAATCCGCTAAATCCGAGGTTTTTCCATCGAGGTTCACTAGGTTCTGCCGTCTCTGGCGGTCAATAAAGCGGTAGGAGTACTTGGTTGCTGTTGCCTAACTGTTATGGAGTATGCAATTAGTGGCCCTGAGCGATCCAGAATCCGGTAAATGATGATAAAGCTTATCGGTACTACGATACATGGGGAGTTTTTCAGTTATTCATTTGTGTGGTATGAGGTATCAGTGTTCAATCACGCTGATATTCTCTAATTAATGTCCAATCTATAAGTTGGGTTGCGGGGGATACTCAGCAGTCAAGGCATACTGTGGTACAGAGTGCTGGTTACTATATGAAGGGCACTCTTTGTATAGATTGAAAGTGTAAAGAGCTCTCTGGGAGGCCCTGAGCACTCAGGAATCATTATGCTCGACTGTTGCTATAGGAAGGTATTCCCCAGCGAAGAAAGCCTAGAGAGGGTTGATTTCCGTGTTGACGTCTCTGGAACGTGGGTTCTAGATCCAAATAGTACTATATGTCTGGTATACTAGCTGGCTCGTGAGTAACGTGGCCTCTACACTCTTATCTTCTGTGCTATCAGATATTTTGCCAATAATTATGAGCAGACATGAAGCTGGCTTCGAGGTTTAACTCTACATCAATATGTCAGAATAACCTTCTTCTGAGAAAGGAAGAAATACAGAATGTGCTAAGCTTTTGATATCATATAGGTCAAACACTCTATCAAAGATAATCTATGCCGTATATCAGATATATACCTATATGCTGACGGCGATCATTCATTCTAGTAATAAAAATCTACGGAATCAAGAACATACTACTTACATAACCATACCATGCATCAAGCAGCTGCATCAGGTCAAAGAATAAGTCGATAAACAAACAAACAACATCTGCCAGTCTCATTGCAGTACCAGCTGATCCGAGAGAACAGTCTTGGCTTGATGTCATCATATCTATCGACTACCAATCCCTACGAGGCTGTCTCCGGAGTAGAGGAATGAAGTATGTGGGGAGTCACACAACAGCAGCTGGAGAATGCAAGGAAGATCAAAGCTGAACATCTCTGACCAATTGATATCTGCCATACATTATCGTCCTACATTATCTTATGTGCAATCTGACGTGTTGGATAGCGTTGTCCTTGGCCCCCTTCCGTCATCGTCGAAGTATATCAAGATGGAGTCACGCTCTCCATCATCTATCCTCTATCTTCAATTCCTCAACACCTCTCATCTTGTAGACTCACAGTAGCTAGAAGCACCGAAGACCCATCATGCCCACCCAGGAATTTTTCAACCGCGTCCCTCCGTTCCCTTCCAATATCCCCACCGCAGACATACCGTTAATATCATTCAAAGACCTCGCAAATGCAAGCACCACCGAGTCAAATAAACTATTCCAAGCCTGTCGAGAACTCGGAATATTTTCCCTCGACCTTCGAAACTCCGGCACAGGAGAGCAATTACTCAAAGATGCAGAGATGCTGATGAATCTAAAACCACCACCACCCTAAGCCTGGATCGGCAAATCCTGGATAAATTCGCCTACAACCCTCCTCACAACATCGCAGGGTAAGTCTTAAGTATACTTCTTCCTAGTTACATAAGTACTATCCAGCACATGCATCTAAAACTGGAATCACCTCAGATACAAACGCTCCGGCAAACTCCGCACCGCCGACGGCAAGCTAGACAGCATGGAAACATACAGCATAAGTCAAGACGACATGGTAGGCAACGTCCCTCCACGCGAGAACCCCGAGCCAATCGAACACCACCGTACCGAATGCTGGGCCTTTTTCGAGCACGCCCGTACTACACTCGAAGTCATCTACGCCCACCTCGAGGAGAACCTGGGCCTCCCGCCTAACACATTAGCTGAACGCAGCGCCCTAAACAAGCAGTCTGACACTTTTGCACGGCTACTTGTCAATTGGCCTCAGACCAAGAACACTACTAACTCTGAGAGCAAAGAGCCCCAGGTAACGCTAGGTGGCCACGCCGATATGGGCGCCCTGACAATGCTGTTCAATGTCTCGGGTGGGCTGCAGATTCTGCCAAAAGGGGAAGGAGAATGTGAGCGAGAATTGGGAGTATGTTCGTCCGAGACCGGGGTGTGCGCTGATTAATGTGGGTGATTCTTTGATGAAGTGGACGGGAGGTGTGCTGCATAGTGCTTTTCATCGTGTTGTGACGGCCCCTGGGGAGCAGGGAAGTGTGGCGCGTCAGAGCGTGGCGTTGCTTACGAGGCCGGATCGGTCTGTTACTATGCAAAGGATTAAGGGGAGTGCGGTGATTCCGCCGTTGAAGGAGGGGGAGGTTGATGATGATCGGTCTGTGAGTGACTGGATAATCTGGAAGATTACAAAGGGGGAGTTGAGGGTGCAGACGGCCGAGGAGAAGCGGGTGGCTGCTACTGCTTGATTTTGTCGGGAAATAGCTTTGCTATGTTAACTTTAACGGTTCTGTTGAGGTTACAGTGGACTTTATATCGTGCAGTGGGAGTAGTAGATAATCCAAAGCCGTCTCAGCAGTGACAACTGGAATACACTTTATACTATGACAATCATACCTCGTAAAAGGTCATAATTCATGGGAATTTGCGGATATCAAAACAATGGAAACACCTTCTTTGCGCCAAACACCCATGCTCAAAATGCTATGTCAATCAAGATGCACGCTTCATCAAGCCGCAATTTGAACACGTCCACCACTCCGTTTCCATGAATGCTCCACATCTATCACATAACCATCCGAGAGGACGCTTGTTGGCGTCCCGCTCGAGGGCAGCTAATGATTCAACAGCACGAGTCCGGTTTTTGAACCCCGTGTACCTGCTCGACGGACTCATCGACCGCTTGTTCTTATTCACTGCTGGTTTTGTCTGACTCGAGCTGGCCGTAGCAGTAGGAGGGCCCGAAACAGACCTGGTGGTCGTTGGTCGCGGACGTTCTGATGCACACGCATCACAGCAAAGAAAGTTCGCTGGATTTTCGAGCGTGCACGTCGGACATGACCACGGCTTATCGTACAGATTATCATCTGAGACAAGGTCAATAGTCTCTGCAGGCTGCGAGGGCCCTCTCGGCCTGCTGTTCTCCGGAACAGGGGGCGGAGAGAGCGTTGTCCGCGGACCAGCGGGATTATCATGACTCGGCGGAATGTAAGAGGGGCCATATCTCTCACGCTCTCCCTGTTCAATCAGATCAATATACGCTTCCATGATAGCTCGCTCATTAGCATCGTCTTCCTCCGCCTTAGTTCGGAAGCCATTCCTAGAGGCTTCCTCTGCAAGTTCGGCACTGTTGTCAGCGCCTGAGGCACAACCATTCGTCACTTCTATGCGTCTCTGCGCAGCATCCGCAATGACTCGACGCATGTCAGTCCCGCGCAGAACAGGTGCACCCCCAAGTCGTCGTCCAGATCCAGCAGATAGAGACCGTCTCTGTTCCGCAGCTGCTCTGGCTACCCGGCGTGCCTCATCGACGGGCATTTTCCGTCCCCCTAACCGTCGCCCTTCAGAAAGGAACCCTTCTCCTGTGTAGCCTTTCATGACAAGCTCTTCATGCTCATCACGTAGCTGGTTCCAAAGTGCATGAAACTGCTGGTTATGCGGTCCATGCACGATATGACATAGCCTACAAATCATCGTCAACCACTACTCTTCCTCAGGCAGAGAAGACAAAGTAGACTACGTGATATAAGATAGGGTATCAACTTACTCATGAAGCATGGTATCCACCACCTGCTCGATAGGTAAGAACTGGCGCTGATCAGAAGGATACCGCAGCCGTAGACAGATCTTCTGGCCCGCATTGACATTTAGCCCAAGCAGGTTCCGCTGATGGGGATAAAATTCACAGAGCGTGCCGACTTTCCAGTCTCGTCGTCGCATGATGGGTTTTACCAGCGAAGCGACCTTCCGGAGAATCAATAACGCTTCCGATTCCCGTGGTCGTTGCTTTTCATGCTGGTATTCAAATATGAGTGGGTCTATTTCGCGCATGATGGCGATTATCCTGGAGACACAACTTCAAGATCACGCTATGAAAAGAAAAAAGATGGCGAAAGATGGTAAAATATGATATCGAGGAGCCCTGAGGGAAAGTAACTTTTTTTGAGGTACAGAGGCGGATACAGATCTAAATGCAGATGCTTGCTACCGCCTCCACCAGATATATTCCACGCTTGGACTGCGTCAGTGAACGGAAAACGTGTCCCAACCGGATAGTAACACGCTGAGATGAATAAAAGGCATGACCCCAAGCGATAGAGGGGGTAATACAATGATGATGGTCAGGGGAAAGAATCATTTGGAAAGAAAGGAACTGAGTGCCACTCCGATTCGATTGCTAATCCAGGCATCCAGGCATCTAGGGACCGGAGTCACGTGGATACGTGCCTGAGGCTGGGATGGCCAATCGGGTGGTTAGCCACTCAACGATTTTTATACTGATTTGACAAGGATTTTTGGTCCTCTTGATAGTAAGTACAATGTGAGGTGTAATTGGTGTATTTAGATGGTAGTGTTGCTAGGGTGTACTTGGAGTTGAGGTGCGTGTCTCCCGCTCTATATAGTCCACCGGTATAATCTATGATGGTTTCACATAGCATTAGCGATAGTACAACATGTTATACGAATAAATTATTCCAAGGAGATATAACATGTAGCTGTTGCGGAGCTATGTAATTAGGCTGAGTGATTGAATGTTCTTATATTTTAGAGTAAAGTATTGAATGAGACTGCATAGTGGCTCACCCGAAAAGTTCTCAATGTACGGTATAGTAGACAGTTCAAGATAGCTAAAAGAGGTGTCTAGGAAATACAGTGGCAAGAACTACTTGAAAGAAGGATGTATTAGTGACTACTTTGCATCATTCTCCCTGTTATGTCCTTACAATTGCTCCAACTTCCTCAACCACCGCCCTCATCTAGAACACCGCAGCAAGCAATGCCCTAATGTACCCCACTCAGGAGATCAAACATGGCTAGGAAAAATGTCAAAAGAGCGAAATATTTAATCTCAGCCAAGTCAAAGCCCAAAGCAGGTCCCCCCAGATCTCATCACTTAGAACAGCTCTCCCCGACAACCACCCAGGCCCACTACATCAGTAACACTAAAGTGAGCAACAGTCCTGCGATCTGCTTCTCCTGATATTCACTACAATCTCTCTCCGCCGCTTCCTAGAACCATTTCTATCTTCTCCTGACCTTCTCTCCTGACCTTCTTTCGTCTCTCTTCTCAGAGCTGTTCCCTCTTCTTCATCTTCTCAACCGCGCACACATTCAGACACACAGAACCTCCAATCTCACCTACTAAAACCACCTCACAACAAGTTGAACTCTAAAGTAAAACAATGACTCGCTGGACTGATGAGAACAAGGCGACTGTATGTCCCTCCCCAATCCCCTTCCCCAAACACACATTTATACAATATCTACATACACAAAGACAAACTAACATTTCACCTCACCAAGCTCCTCCACCTCATCTTTGAGACTCAGAATTTCCAGATCGATCTCGACAAGATCGTCGATGCCTGGCGTAAGTATACAACCTACCCACCCATCCGCACATACACAATAACCCCAGTCTCATCACTAACCACACCGACCCCACAGCCGGAGACGACAAGCCCACCGGCAAAGCGCTCAGCGAACAGCTGGGCAAATACCGTAAGCCTGGCAGCTCCATAACCTTTAGGTTCACTAAAGGCAAGCGGGCTGCTCCTGATGGATCGGGTTCTTCTGCGCCTAATACCCCTACACCCAAGAAAATCCGAAAGACCAATGGAAAGGCTAGCAAGGTGAAGGCGGAGGTGCCGTCTTCTCCTGTTCCTGTGCCTAAGATTAAGGGCGAGACTGTGGAAGATGATAAGAAGTTCCTTGAAGCTTAGAGGCGAAGGTGAAATAGTCTAGAAGAGGGGAAGATAGAAAGGAGTACCGGCTTACGGGCAAGTTAGCTGGGAGTTGATGGTTTTATGCATAGGACCAGGGGACTGGTATTAGGCTTGGGGTTGAGGAGTTAGCATGGAGTTGGGTTAAATAGGCGCATGGTTCATGTGGAATGGAGTTTAGGGAGTTGTGGCTCCTTTCCTCCCTTTAAATCGATGGCGTTTGTAGCATGTTGATGATGCGTGTAGTAAGATCAAATATGTAGGGCTCTATTGTTTGTCATTGCTTCGGCCATGGCCAGCAGAATGAAGCAAATATCTCATTGGGTTTGTAGTAGATTAGGTTCTCGGTATCCTTTTATTCCGACCAGTCTACTAGTAACTATATTCCTTACACCTTCAGTCGGACCAATGCTCAGAGGTATATCAGTGAATATGTTCTCTACATCGTGGATCATCTGCGAATATATATCTAATACTTCATTACGCAGTCGAACCAGTTCCTCCTTATAAGTCATTGCAATTTATCAAAGCCCCGTCATTGTGCACGAATTTGTGAAAGGTGTTTAATAAACAGCAACGGGTAGGGGAAATGCATGATATACTACACTAGGTGGTCTATCAGAATGGCCGCCTAAAATGTGCTGCGATGTCCCTGAAGACACAACGTGATCGGCTTCGCGAGGTAAATTCCCGACCCGAAACGGGCGCCATTTATCGCAGCTCACGGGGTTTGGTGCGGATCCGGACGGGAAATGCCCCGGGCTCTGCATGGAGGGGGGCTCAACTGTTGCTTCGCAGTCGCCTGCAGAATTCTTCTGCTATTCTTAAAATCAACGTAAACGGAATCCAGGCCCGGAAGCGCCTTATAGTCGCATAACTTGAAACAACGCAAGGGAAAGATTATAATAGTAATGACTGCTGTATGAAGTGTCTGGATCCATGGTCAAAGAAATAATTTGAAGAAAACTCATCTATATTAAAATACGCATATCGATGTAATCATTCAATCAAGCCCCTGAAACCACGGGTGATTTAAAGCCTCTGTGGCGCTGATGCGTGCTTCTGGACGTAGTTGCAACATGCGTTCCAGAAGGTCGACCCCCACAGGGTCTAACGACGGTATAATTTGTTGCAGACTTTGTGGAGAGCGAGGCGGGAAGTCGTTTCTGTATTCGGGCAATTGACTGACGCCTGGCCAGGTGAGTTCGGTTGGTGTGCCCATAATATCGAAGATCTTCAACAGTTGCTCTGCATTTGTTGTTCCAGCGAATAATGCAGAGCCTGTATACATCTCTGCCATGATACATCCGACGGACCAGATGTCTATGCTGGTGTTGTACGTGCGACTTCCAAGAAGCACGTCTGGGGGACGATACCAGAGAGTGACCACGTCAATCGAAAATGTGCTGATGGGTATACCGAACGCACGGCCCAGCCCAAAATCCGCAAGTTTTAGCCGCCCATCCTGGTTGAGTAGTAGGTTCTCGGGCTTCAGGTCTCGATGTAAGATGCCATTCTCATGACAGAAAGAGACACCGCACAGCAACTGGTAGACGAAAGACTTGGCCGTTGCGTTGTCAAGAGGGCTACTTTGAGTGTCAATGTAGCGCTTTAGATCCTGATCCATGTACTCAAAGACCAGCACCAATTTGTCCTCGACGTTTATCACATCGTGCAGGGTCAGGATGTTCTCGTGTGTGAGGCGTCTCAGCAATGAGACTTCCCGGATAGCCGTTGAAGGAGCGCCTTCCTCGGCGTCGAGATTGATTTCTTTCAAGGCCACCAATTCGTTTGTCTCGCGATTGCGTCCTTTATAAACCTGGAATTAAGGTTGATACGCTGTCAGACACCACCAGCTGTACCTCTCGATCAGGAATCCAACGGATGGCTGAACGAACCGTTGCATATGTTCCCTGGCCCAGCTAACGTGATCATAATTAGCGACTAGGCTCACTAGAAACCCTCTCTTTTCTCTTTCATCATTTCTCATCTAATAGGAACCACAAACCTTCTCCAGTTTCTTGAAGGAACCCTGATGAGAGGATGAAAACATGATCTGAGGAGTGGCGGGGTTGGTAAAGGGGAAATCCCGAGTTTAAAGCTCGATAGCGGTACGGGTAGCAATCAAACTAACGAATGTGCTATATGCTTGGTCAATTTAAAAGTGCTGAGACATAGCATTGGCAGTTTACCAAGATGGGTACTCGACCCAGTTGGTAAGCAGGGGCTTTCCCTTGCTTTTATACCGAGGAAGCTCTAGCATGGATGCTAAGGTGGAACGTGTATATTGCCAAATTGGACCATTGGTTCCCACCTCCTTCCCCTTTTCTGCGTGAACGTTTACGTAGCGTAAATGTGTCTGTCCTTTTTTTTTCTTCTGTGTTGAGTTGTCCTTGGTGCGGATCAACCAGACGGCCACCTTACGAAAGCGAGAGACCGAGGGGCTTGCATGGGCAGGACAATATTGACATCACCAATCCGTACTCCCACCGATTAGCGGCTCATAGCAGGGCCAACTATCAGAAGAGGTAGTACTTGGCAGGGCGACTAGATCTGGCCCCCAATAGGGTACCGAGCTAAGCGTCAAGCACTCAGGAGGGGCATCCAATTGTTCTCTCACCATACAGACACGCAGTCAGAACACTGTGGGCGATCTCTAGTCTGTGGTTGGCCATCCCGAACTTAAACGCAATTGGTTCGGCCGATGTAGACGGCGGCTAGATAAATAGGCTGAATGACTCGGCAGTGGCTGAGGCGCCCCGCAATCATTCGGTCTACATAGTAGGGATTGCACATCTTGGACAATGATCCACTCCGAAACATCGGTCAACTCTTCCGCACTGGAATTGCGGATTGGGTTCACTACCTAAATAGAAAATAGTCGAACTCCCAATATCTGACGATTTGATCAAGAGGCTTTCGAATGGTTATATTAGAAACTGGAAACGGTAATGTATCCCGTCTGGAAGTCACAAAGCAAAATTCCAATGCAGCTTTGAGGATAATCCACGACCCTTCAAACAGGGATGCTCGTGAGACAATCGCAAGTGTCCATGAGATCTACAACGGTGAGTAGCTTCCCCGTGAGCCCCTCCTTACCGGGCAGGAGTATATCGTGCCGCATTCTGAAGGCGGGAACTTTCATGATTCCTCGCTTTGCCGAGACATGCAATCATAGCACGGGCTTGTCGGACTTGTCGGTTTCGAGTATGCTTGATAATTCTTGTTTCATGTAGGCCGAAGGAGCCTTCGGAAGCTCTTGTTAAGACGTATATACTTCAGACGAATTGTGGCTCAGTGTTCATGCGATTGTCAACACTATCTCGGCACGGGGCAGACGTGCTCCGCACAAGGCGATAGCAATAAGGCTGGGGAGCCTAATTCTATCCCGCCAAGGACCGTAAAGCTGTCATATATCACACATTTTCTGGATGGTTGATCGATCATTGGGAACTGGTTATGACTTATGGTGAAGTTTTGACTGGGCGGACTATGCGTGCTGCCTCTGGATGGCAAACTAATAGGTCAGGCACGAAGAATCCTCCATTGCTTTACATACATGGAGTATGACTGAGCAGTGTCATTCCTCTGCGATCTGCGTTTTCTTGGCTGAATTAGCATAGTCTAAAACCTGGTGGGCCACTGCGAATACCTATTATAGTGAACGGAAAATTTCTCTTCCACAAACTTGCCTCAGTACTCTTGGCTTTCGACACGAGACCTTCCTTCTGTGACATAGTATAGAAAGACACTTAGTTCAGGGACATGCAAGGTGGTCCCCTACTCCGTACAGCTGGTGGAACTGGTTGATGGCGCAGGAGGCCATGAGAATTGCGCGATAGATATAATGCTGCACAGTACCGAGGCCACTTTCACAGAGCATAGAAACAAACATGATATATGGAGGCAGAGCTCGTGTCTTGTACTATGCCACAGGCTATATATACTTTAACAACAGCTGCCTCCCATTTGCGCTTGGCAGCTCACGGTCAGAAACTAATAGGCTAGGCCATTTGAGTTGAGCCAAAAGCATCTTTGGGAGATACATTTATAGAGTATGCTGGACCAACTCCTCGCTGGGCAATACAGCAGAAATAATGATCGTTACTGTGATACAGAAGAGCAATTGTCCGGTTGAACGCGACAGACGGTGCGCTTAACATACTGATAAGTGTTTTGGATTATGAAGTAAAAATTGAACAGTATTTTCATCAAGTTGGCCGGATGGTGTAGTTGGTTATCACGTATCGTTAACACCGATAAGGTCCTGGGATCGAGCCCCAGTCTGGTCATACTTTTTTCCTCCCCATCATTTTTTGTTTGACGGAGACACAAATGAAATGTTATATGCTAAAGTTACAAAGTAGACAGTACCATCTTCAGGATGGAAAGTTCTTACTTGTATGATCCCTAAAGGATTTTGATTGTGCCTGCCTTTATCGGTTTCCCGACCATAGCTACTATAACATCCCTACATGCTAAATTCACCCCGGAATCTCGGCAACCCATCATGTATTCCCAGAGACGTCTGTGGGCCCCTCACCCCGTGTTATGTTTGAATGTATTTTAAGATCACAAACAAGTTCCTTGTTCCTTGAGCCGCTGTAGTAGTATGGACTGCTCTCATGTGTCCGGAGGTCTCCAACACGACAATAAGATTGCAGGATCCGGCTTATTATCTCACTAGGGCTCACTCGGTAGCTAGAAGCACCGAGGATTCTATATTTGTATTTATAGTAAAGTGGACTTTTTTTTGAATGCAATTCAGTCGCAGTCTTATTATACCCTCTTGTCCGTGTGCCATTGACACGGGTCTTACAGGAGTCTCATGTCGGAGCCGGTCCTTTAACACAGGAGTTTTGGCTTTGGCAATGCTATGGTATCTTAGATAGCCATGATGTTACTAGTGTTGACAGCTTTTCATGCACTGTTACACTCGTTGTACTCATTGGTTTCATTGAAGAGTTCTACTACTACTGAGAGGTTGCAGACGTGAAATGATAGTAATATATAGTAGCCAAATCAATAACATATCAACACGGCTATCTTCGGTGTTCCAACCCCATCTTTCGGAACTTATGCACCAGTTCAGCGCATGATGAAGATTGCTACCAAGCCCTTTACGACCCATCATATACTTGTTGCATACAGTGCAGCATTCACATCAACGGTGCAGCCGTATAGATTCGGGCGCTCCAATAGGGCGGAAAGGCTCATGTGACCCGCCCGCCGATAAGAATCGGATTCTTCATTGCCGGCGAATCTTCATCAACCTCTTTTATCTCAGAAAGCTCGGGTTCCTGAGCAGACAGCATCATCATGACCAGTGACGACCAGTTTTTCTTCGACTACGTAAGTTGGTAGCATGCGCCCTCTGCTCGCCGCTTTTGTACTGACGCTTTCCTCTTCTCCAGCTTGCCTCGATACCGCATGACGTAAGGAGATATTCTCTCCAAGTCGCCGAGTCGATCGACCGACAAGTGGACCACGTAGCCAACGCACTCCGCGATACCCTCTCCAGCCAGTCATGGCTACCTACTTCCGTTCGGCCCGTATCCAGGAACCGACCCAGTCCGCCCATACCGCGAGGATTCGTTGATCGCGTGCACACTTGGTTCCTGCGCAACCGGGCATGGAGTGCTGCCATCATCGCGTTCTTGGGCACCAGCTGTGTGTTGTATTATGGCAATAAGAAGCTGAACGGAAAGCGGCGGAGAGCGAGGCGAGCTGGAAATGGAGCCCGGAAGGAAATAGTGGGTATGGTTACTTCCTACTTTTTGTATACTTCGCAGTCTAATCATTTGGACAGTCGTCGCCGGGTCGCCCCATGAGCCGATGACCAGAGCGATCGCCGCCGATTTGGAACGTCGAGGGTACATAGTCTACGTGACAGTCACATCCGCAGAGGAGGAACATATCGTGCAGTCGGAAAATCGAGCAGACATTAAAGCCCTCTGGCTGGATCTCTCAGCCGTAAGCGCAATCAACCGCCTCGCAGGAATATAGCGCCAAACTGACAATATCGATTTGAACAGACACCCTCCTCACCTTCCGAAATACATCCCTCCCTAAATGAGATCTACACCCTTATTTCTCGACCTCAGTCGCCCATGGCCGGTGTGCCCCCGCACACCTGCCAACTAAGCGGCCTCATCCTCGTACCCTCTCCCAACTACGCCTCCGGCCCCGTGGCTACAATCCCACCCTCCTCTTGGATCGACACCGTCAACACCCGTCTTCTCTCTCCCATTCTCACAACCCAAGTCTTCCTCCCTCTCCTCACCCTCCGCAACTCCAACAGCACCATCGTCGTCGCCTACCCGTCCATTTCCTCATCCCTCTCCGCTCCCTTCACCGGGCCCGAAGTCGCAACCACTCGCGCCCTGTCAGGGTTCGCAACCTCCCTGCGCAGAGAACTCAGCCTCCTCCAACAAAATAATATCGACGTTGTGGAACTCAAGCTCGGTAACATCGACCTGGGTTCGCAGTATCGCAACGCCCAGAGCCACATCACCGGCACGGAAGTCCTTGCCTGGAGTGTGCAACAGCGGTCCCTATACGCCTCGCAGTATCTCAACAGCATCGAACAGCGACCAGCTGCATCCGCCGGGCCTAGCACGATCCGCGGCTCGCCAGCCCGGGCTCTACACTACGCTGTCCTGGACGCACTAGACCCCCCATCGAAGGATATCTTCGGCAGAAGGGTGGCCAAGAATCCTGTCATCTATGTCGGTCGAGGGGCCCGGACGTACCATTTCATCGGCGAGTGGGTTCCTGCTGGACTAGTAGGCTGGATGTTGGGGTTGCGGACCGGACAGCAAACACCCCCGGAGAATGGGAGTGGGGGGAGTAGTGAGACGAGCTGGGAGAAGGTTTAATGGTTTAAGCATATTAATGATGGGGGTTCCTGATACGGAGTAGTGTTAAATGATATCATCTCATCTCTTCTTTCTTCTTCTAACGCGTCATATTGACATTTCTTCTTGACTGCATCTCTTCTTATCCATAGTAAGTAGTTCCTATATGAGGGATTTTGAATGAACTATATGTAAC